CGATCCACACTGCTGGTCCACCCCCGAGTCGGCAACAGCACGCAGCTTGAGGTGGCTCTTCTGGCTGGGGGTCTGTCACAAGTCGACTCTTAGCCGCAGAGCCCCTCCGCTCCGGTACCAGCTCCGTCCCCGTCCATATCCACACATCCCATATTCCATCCGCCAGGGCACGCCCCCATTCATGATCCCCCGTCTTTTCCACCCTCGTCCCTCTTCCCTCGGTCCTTGACGATTGGTATTTCCAGTTTGTCGGGTTGTCCTTGCTGATCTGTGCAATCCAGTAAGCCGTCTCTCCCCGGTCACCAAGGGTTGGTTTTCTTGACAGCAAAAGTAACCTGAACTTGAAGAGGAACCGAAACTTTTGTTGCTCAACATCCATCGCGCCTCTGCCTCTGCGTCTCTTTTGTTTCCCACTGGCCGCGCCAACAATCGCGTCCCGACAAGCGCAGGCCGCAGCTCCGGCCTCCACCAGAATAACACTCACACACGCACACACACATCTCATGGCAGCAAGGTAGCCGGCCTGACCCAAAGCCAGCTACTCGCAGGTGCCAAGGGTAAGATCACCAGAGGTTGTGGTTGGTACTGTGGTTCCCATAGCTCACTGCTTGACAGTAACAGAAGCTACCTGCATTGCTGCAGCACCCTTGCCAACAGGGCTGGGGTGTCCCATCGACAAGGGACCTTGGCTATTGACCCCTGTCAAATTGGCGTCTGCCTGCCTGAGTCCGTCGCTGCAACCGCCCGCTCCAGCTTTTGGCTCGGCCTGGTTCTTTAAACCTCCCGCCCTCCATTCTGTCCATCCTCTGCTTCTCGCCTCGACCTCCCGGTGAGCTGGTTTCCCGTTCCGACAACTGAGGTGCTTGCTTCGTTTCTGGAAGCTCTCTGAGCCCTTGCTTCAACATTGGTGTCTTGCTTAGCCGCCCTGAGCTTTGCGATCCTTCTCCTCTCCCGCATTGCCTTTTTGGAAGCATCGGCGCAAACCATCCGACCTTGGGACACCCATATCCCACGGGCCTCCTCCCGGCCGCACGACCGCCGACCACCGACCGACCAACACCACACCTCCTCGTTCCACTGCCACGATAGCTATCCCACTTGGGTCTTTCTTCTTCCAAGGCTGGGCCACCGTTCAACCTTGTCGCATTGCAGAGTCCGCAAGGCATTCTTGCCTTGAAGCCTGTCGCTGCAATCCGTCTTAAGCTTCCCTCTCCTGCTGGAGTATTCGACGACTGGCATCGGCCCTCTTCGATAGTTCCACCCCTTGGCTTCAGTCATGGCCCTCGAGGCCCCTTTGAGGTCATCGACTGGAAGCTTGCAATTTCCCTTTGCCTACTACCAGAAAGAGATGTCGACGTCTACAGATACTGAGAGCGTTCGCGCTCCCTTCAGGCCAGTGTGAGTTGACACCAAGACTGCTTATCTTAATGCGAGTGCACCGGCCTTTTACTGACCTTATTCTAGCTCCTCTCCTCCGAGCACCGACTCATCTTCCCTACGGCCTGGCTCTATTCATCGCATGACGAGCTCATCCTTCAATGTCATGAGCCCAAGCGATATTGTAGGCCCATCACCAGTTACATCCAATGGCACCGAGACGACCGAAATAGAAGATGATGTTGCAGAGGATCTCCATCGAGAGGTCTCTGAACCAAGGCCCTCACGCCGCTCCGAGGTCCGTCTCCGAGATCCAAACTCCAATGGTTGTCAGACGCTGACTGACTCAATGTAGCTTTTGATGCTCACGACCAATCTCCCTGAAAGCGTGCAGCAGACCAGCACCGATGAGGCAGTGTCTGTCATTCATGCACCTGAAAGCTTTGCCAGCTGGGCAAGTGAGATTCAAATAATTGGCAGGATATCACATCTAATCCACGATATAGGTCGCTCCACCATCAGCGCCAGAGGGGTCGAGTGAAGAGACAACTCTCAAATCCGATGCCGAGAGTTTACCTGCTGCCAATGGCTCCCCCAAGAACTTGTCGCATAGCTCTCCCGATAACTCTCCCGAGAAGGTATGTTGTGCATGGCCTGGCTTGCGATATGCATCTAATTCGTCATCAGACATCGACGCATCCAGCTCGTCCTCCGATTTCAACCGATGTCAACCCTGTACAGTACAACATAGATAGCGCCACACCACGCGCTCAAGATTTACAGTCCATGTTGGATGAGGGCACACGGTTACGCTCGAGTAGTACGAGCAGCCTTGAGAGTGGGTTCAGGATAGGTCATGGCAATGTGCATGGCTAACACTAGTAGAAATCGACGAGCAAACTGAAGCCGAGGGCGACGACGACGAAGCGTACGAGTCAGACGGCATGCTGATGTCTCATCACCAAGATGAGATCGAGACTTTACGAGCTGCTCTTGCGGAATGTTGGACTCTATGCAATAGTCTTTCCAAACTGAGTTCGATTCACCGCACCCGTGCCTTCAACAAATCCAGTGCCCCCGACGCACATGAGAAGGCATGGCGAACCTGTTGGAAACTCTGTCAACGACTTTACGAGAATCGAGACGCAGACGCGAGCTCATTCAGTATTAGAATGAACCTCGATCTCCTCCGTGACTTCTGCCAAGCACTTTTTGACGTGCGGCAACGTAACGACGAGACGGCGGATTCAGTTCTTCGTGTCAGCTTTGAGCTTAACAACCAGTGAGTGGCATGTATCGAGATGTGCTCTCTTTCTAACGCTTGGACAGCCTGTACAGTGCTCAAGATGGCACCCTACCCGAGGAGTTTAGGGAGCGGACGTTGGACTTTTACATCGCCTTGTGCCATCGACTCATGAAGCAACGCAGCGAATTGTCTGAGGAGACTGACCACTTGCTCGGCGCAAGCTGGTCTTTGGCAGAGATGCTCTTTAACCTTCGGCAGAACAGGCGCGATGGCAGGCCTCCAGATGAAGAGCTTCTGAGCTCTACTGTTCAGGCTTGTTGGGAGCTGTGCGACGTATTCCGCGACAGCTGGGCACAGATTCGGCCAGACAGGTCCGTTTCTCGATCGAGTCAGACCTTCAGTCACCACGCCCCTGACCAAAGCGGCCGGCAAAGTCGTGCGTCGAACCCATCTTCAGTTCCCTCGAAACATGAGAGCGCCAAGAATATTCGACCAGAAGAGAAACCCAGGAAACCACCGATCGTGCCCGAGACTCCAGTGACCGAGTTTGAGGATACACCCATCTCCCCTCAGAGTCGTTCCCCTACGATGCCCAACATTCTGGTTCTGGGAACCCCCAGCGACAACAGTCGAGGTCGATGGTCCAGCAGTGCTTCCAACCTCTCGAGCTACTCCAAGAGCAGTGTCAGGACGTCGAGCACAGCAACGACAACAGCAACGTCCGAAGACGCCAATGTGACACGCGCAAAGATCCTCGTTCTCCGAGCGGCTATGAATCTTGGCTTTAACCGCGATGCCATCACCGACCCCAAGACCGCTGCTACCGCCTTGCAGAAGTTCGTGCAAGACCTTCCTGCCGGCTCCTTTGGGTCCCTTCTCTCCCAATCGGCCTTGTTAGCACAGTATAAGAACTCGGTGCTAATGGACTCGATTATTCCCCGACACCATTTGTTGCCAGGCCGGGGCAAGCGAGTCACGGCACGGGAAATGGCCAAAAGTATTCAGATGATGATGAAGAGTTCTCAACGATACGCATACCTGCGCGACCTCTTCCGAATCGTATTCCAGTTCCCGATGGAGGAGGTCAATATCCAGCGGGATGTCACCATCAGCGTTTGAGAGACCATGGCCGAGGTTGTGCTCTCGCCCGGCAGCGTCGCTGTCGTCGAACTATGGCACTTATATGATGACTACATAATTTTATTTTTCTTCTTTTGGAGGACTTTCTGAATGGAGGCAGAGAGTCATGGCAGGTTGTTGGAGGTTGGTGTTACGGATTTCATCTTCTACCTTATACGAAAAGACATGACGCACAAGAGGAGGAAATGAGGGATTGTTTTGAAGAGGTTTACGTGGTGGTCTATTCGTTTCTACATGCACGAGATACCCTTTTGAAAGGCTCTGGCGGGCGCGTTGGTATGGATATGAGGAGGTAGAGGAGGGTTGGAGAAGCCGGCAGCTGAAGCCGGAGGCGTCGACCGTTTCTGTCATTACGTGGCACATTGAAGGATTTCACATCTCATAAGCACGTTGGATTGGTTCTAGGTTACCTATTTATAGCGGAAGCGAAGGAGCTTCGGTCAAGAACTAGGTATCCAATTAAGATATCTAACTTTCCTAGTTCTGAATTCCTCTGCATCCAGTTCAACTCGTACATGTGGTATTGCTGGTCTAGGAGCTTCTCCTCCATCCGACGTCCATAATGGCCCAAAGTCCTGGGCGAAACAAAGTCTCAACGGCGGGGATATTCAGCAGCTCGCAAATCTTCGGAGCAGGTCTCGCCTCTTCAACTTGCTGGGTGTTAAATATGACTGTTTCTTACGCAAATCCTGTCGTTCTCTCGCGTTCCAAAAATTAAGGGAAGGGTCTTGCCAACGTGGGTAAGTGACATGTGTGGTTATGCATGTGGTGTAGGTGAATTAGTGAGAGAGGCCGCCGAATCTGTGGTCTCTTCAAACAGTCTGGGGTCGAGACTGTTAATGTGAAGGGTCGGGGTTGAAGGTGTTTGGCGTGTGTATCCGTAGTTGGAAAGAGACTGCTGGGGAATGGATCGGTTGGTGGTCTGTGGCGTGGAAGGTGAGTATTCAGGCTGTTTTTGAGAGTACAATTGCCGCCCCCTTACGGGGTTTACAAGAACTGGGTTAACTGTGTTGTTGACGTCTTGAGTTAGCTGAGAGGAGGTGAGGGGGGGTTGGTTATCGGCTGGCCGAGCTGTCCTTACGTTGAACCATCCGGCCTCCTCTGAGGGTATTGTCTGCTGGATCGCAGCTTCCTCAGCGGTTTGATTGAGTATCAATCCCGTCTGGACGCTCTCACTAGGTTGAGGGGTGCTATGAAGGACATCCGTTGAGGTCGCCGGCTGGGACACGGGAGCGTTCTACACTCCGGCCTGGCCTGCAACAACATGGGCACCTGCAGGTTGGAAGAGGAGTCCAGTGTGGTAGTTCTGGATGCTTTGGCGCTGGTATTGGTGGCCATGGATTGGGCTTGGGAAGAAGGACGCTTGCTGGATAGGGGACAGCATATTCGGCGTTGGCGCGGGGGTTGTCGACAGACCGGGGCTCTCTTCCGCGGGCGAAACAACCCAGTTCTGGCCAAAGTTTGTACTGGTGGGATAGAAGTTTGTGTTCCATCCAACCTGCTGTTGCTGGGTGAAGATTCCAGCTGAGTTTCTAGGGATGTAGCTCCCGTCTTGGGTCTGTTGAGCAGCAGGCAAGCTGGGTGCCGGGGCGGTCGGTGTAAGGACGTAAGCGTGACTTGGAGTAGGAGATTCACTCTCCTCCTTCTTAGGAAGGGTGGTCTCCGCAACGGTCGGGGTGAGGTTTTGACCTTCATGGGGCAACTTGAGCTGTTGTGGTTCAATTGCTGGGGAGGGTGCGACAACGTCGGCTGGAGGAACTGGCGCGGCTGCTGTCGGCACTTCACGACGAGCTCGCTTCTCAGGTCGAGAAGGTCTGAAAGATCAGTTTCATTGTTCTGTATGGAAGTGAAAGGGTAACTCACTCGGCAGGCTCAGCGCGACGGCGCTTGAGCTTTTTGCTCGCCGGTCGATTGACCAGAGGCGCCCTACCACACACAACCATCGCATTAGCAAAGGTATTCTCGAGATTGATGTGTGAAAGAGTCAAGGCTTATTGTTTACTTACCCGAAGTCGGGGTCCTTTCCGTACTTATTTCGCAAGTACCGAATCTGGTTGTCGGTCAAGGGGCGACCGAAGCGTTGATCAAAGGCATCAGAAATCTGCTCGTTGTATAAATCCTGTAGCATGAGATCCAGTGCAAACTGGATCTCATTTGCCTGGTAACTTGGCTTGCCAGTCATTCTTATCAAGGGTCGAGTTGGTGGTGGTGAAGGGAATGGTGTTGGTATGTGAGGGGGAGGAGGGGAGGTTGTCGGGTTGCGCTCTTGAACGCGCTTCACGATCTCTGAGAATCAACTGAAGTAGGCTGAAATTCCTAATGAATAATGCGGCGGTGCATTGAATAGACCTATTGTTCCCTAATCGAGTAACAAATGTCGGAACTGTGATTAAATGCTTGAAAGGTTGGGGGGTGGGTGTATGCGTAGCGATTGTTAATCACAGTCGATGTGAGTCGGTGACACTGAGCGAAGCAGGAGAAAGAAGCCGGAGAAGAGTGTGCACGAGGAGAGCGAGCGGGGTGTGTTTATTCGTCGAGGCGCTTCGCAACTGTTGACAACTGGCAGTGTTTAGCTGCCTTGCGCTGAGAGTGGCAGATAATAAGGGGGCTAGCACGTGAGGCGGTTGGCAGAGGGGTATTTGAAAAAGTGTTGCCGCAGAGATTCTACTCTGAAATTGAGAAAAGAGTGTGCAAGTTGCTATAAGCTGTGCGAGGAGTTTCGGTGAAGGTTGAAAAAGAAGAGGTCGGGGGTGAAGATGGAGGGAAAACGGTGCCTCTTAAGGATGTGTGCATGGGCGTCTTGTGATTGTTCACACTCGGGCATGCCCTGACTCAACTAAAAACAAGCTTGTCTATTTATTGACCTCTGTAATCGCCTGCGCTTGCTTTCTCTGCTTATTCTAAGCTGTTGTCTATGTCTATTTATCTAAAGTTGGCTGGTAAAGAGTTCTAGGTCATTCCCTCCCTCTCCATGATTCGCATCCAAAGAGCATCTCTCCCTCATCACTGCCAACAACAAGGTCATGCAACCTCTACGACGCATCATCGCTAATCACTGTCAGAGGAGATCCCCCACGGCTAAACACGCCCAGCCAGCACCGGACCCTCCCCTCCTCCTCGTCCCCGATCCAGTCGTCTTGGCCCGCCAGCTCGTCCTCCTCCTCACAGAACAGCGGCGTTTCCAAGTCCAGCATGGCCTGTCGGAACGACTCGAGCAGCCTCTCTGTCGTCGCATCTCGTCGCGGAACCATCACCACCGCTCGCGATTCGGAGCCCAGCGCTAGATTCTGGCAGATGGCCGACGCCAAGAGAGCTGGGTGGTCGTCGTCGTACATGGGGTCAGCCGCGAGAACAATCTAGTCATCAACAGTCAGAGATTTTTCGGATCAAGATGAAATGTGTCATTGCTGAGACAATCTTAAAAAACACGTACCTTGAATTGGTAAGGTTCTCCAAACAAAGGCTGATCAATCTCATCCTCGCTTCCGCCCCAGGTCAAAGGCCCGACGGTGAGTGATCCACCACGAGACTCAACCAGACTACTATTCTTGTCCACATTGTCCTTTAGGTTGGGCACGATGTTGGGTAGATCGCTAAGGGCAACGGGAACCTTCCATAGAGCTGCTGCCGCAAGTCCTAGGAGGCCAGTTCCTGAACCGAGCTCAAGAACATCGGGGGGTGACTGTCCCAACGTCTCGTCAAACAGTCGAAACAGCGACGTTTCCGCCAGCCGGGGAAGATGTTGCGAAAGGACGTAAGAGGAACCCCATGTCTTGAGACCTAGAGAATCGCCAGTGAGAGCAGGCTCCCGGATGATGAGCTCAAACTCATCCGCAGCCGCCGTCTCAAAGGGCCACCTCCGAATAACCTCGCCCATGGCCGTACGTCCACACCGCTCCGACATGCGCTTGCTAGCCTGAGTCCAGAGATCCTCCTTCTCCTCGTCGTCCTCGATCCACGCCAGAGGGCTCTTGATGATGGACGAGAGATAGCGGGTCACTTCATTCTTGCGCTGGCTCGCGAGTGACTCTTGCTCCTCGATAATCTCCGAGCGACGACGCTTGTGGTTCCAGATGGGAGGGCTGAGTTCAAGATTCTGCAGCACGACGACCAGCTCTGCGTAGCTGGGACGCTGCCACATCTGTGGAAAGTCGAGAGGTTCAAGACCCATGGTGGAGTGTCGTCGGTGATACCAAGTATTTAACGGTGTAAGGAAAATTTGCAGTTGTGGCAAAGAGAAAAAGAACTCAAAGGTGAGAAGGAAGTTGTTCGGAATCTGTTTGGCGTGCTCTTGTAACAAGAGCACAGTTCAAGCACGCATCTTGGGCAACAGAAACTTGAAGAAGCTTGCTCTTTTTTTATCGTTATCAACTTCAACTCACTCGAGTTTTACAAGTTCACAACGGGGGAGCATTTAAAAAATCCGGGGGAAAAGACGGGAACCGAACCCACTCAGTCATTACCAATTATTGCCTCTCGTGGGACCCATCAACACTAACAATGGCCGGCTGATAAAAAAAATTATTGATAAGAGTCATGATAGGGGGAAGGGGGAAAAAAATAGCTATGAAATCGCCAGGTTCCGATTTGGTAAAGGTCGGTCTGCGGATCCCTTTGGTCTTACACCGAGGCTGAGCCACACGAACGTCTGCACTGCCACACAAGCTTCAGCTTCAGTCGGGGATCACCGTCTGATCCACGTGGCTGACAAGGGAAGCTCTTCTTCTCTTGCCCCCCCCCCCCCCCCCCCCACTGTATTCCCGATTGGTCAGCCCGTAGACCCCTGTTGCCCAACATGCGTGAACTCCCAAAAGTCTATCCCAAACCTCAAAGTCAACTCCAACTCCAAACTTCAAACAAGAAAATACCAGTAATAGAAAGAATAGACCATCACATCCAATATCCCTCGCTTTCTTTAGTTTCCTTCTCATCTCCGGAAATACCCAGGGTTGACCATTTTGCTCAAGTTGGCATACCCAATGGCGGCGCGTAGCTCCAACTCTAGCTTCGTAAAGGCATCCCAGTTATCCATGCCTTGGTGAATCATCCCGATCAACGTCTGGCAAGAGACATCGAGGAGGCGCACAGCATTAGCAAAGTGCCCGGACACGTCCTGGCTAGGCGAATATTGCCAACTATACGATGCTGCAACTTGGCGGCGGCCCCGATCGAGAATGCCCTGGAGGTGTGGGTACATGTCGGGGTCAAACCACTCCCGTGTCCACAATGTCCACTCGCGCTGACGGAGGGCTTGGTTGGACATGTCGACTTCTGCGCGCTGGCAATGCTGTCGAAACTGCGTGAGCTGTGTCTCGCAGGCATGCCGCGCGCTAGTAAGATGGCCAAGGAGCTCCCTCAAGGCGAATCCAAGCGAAGGAGACTGGCGTTGTGGAGGGGGGAACATAGCATCCCGAACCATAACGTCGTCTCCGCTGCTGTTGTCGTCCATATTTTCGTCGTTCTTCGGAATTATGCTTGTCCAATGTTGATGATTGTACGGCATAGCTAACAACTCTATCGATAACAGCTGTAAGTGATGCAAAAGTCGAGAGATCCAATGGGTGAGTTGAGTTATGTAGTGCCAGCAGTGGGAGTTCGTCTTAGTTGTTATGTTGATGAAGATTTCCATGTTCGCGAGTTCTCTAGGATATTTAACTACAATAAATTCATATCGGGGTACTAGTTGCTTCTTGCTCTTTCACCAATGCAAGCATTCAAACACACAAAGACTATTGAGTGATGTTAGAGCCATCACATTTCCCTTCTCACAACATCTATAAGCTGCAGTAAAGGTCTTTCAATATACCACTAGATCATTCATAGCGATTAAGAACACTCACAAAGACGTTTCAACACTTAAACAGACCATTTCATGCAAACATGCAGATCTTTGATCCCCATGAGCAGCTTGCATCCTCCCACCAAGAAAGCTACCCTAGATCCGCAACTCGCTAATCTTCTTTGAGCTTTGGGGTTGGGGGCCCGTCCCGGATCAGCCCATCCATCCCCATCCTCATCCCGCGCTTGGCCCGCTCAGAAAAAAACTGGATCGACCGTCGGCCGCCCAACTTGGTAAATGCCAGGGAAATCACGCACCTCAATCACATGCGACTCACGTCATAGTAGTACCGCTCATCACATCGCCCATGCGACGCCTGTCATAGTCTCAGTTAACGGCCAGTCACAGACTCACAATAGACGACGACACTCAATTTCAACAGTTTCTGTATTCTCGGCCTTTGCCTAGTCTAGCCGTGTGGCTCATCAGGTGGTATCAAAATAAAGTCAACGCAAATCAAAAGTGCTCTGTACCCTTCCTAGAGCCTCTTGTCCATGCAGTTCCGGTTTTCCCTGGTGCAAATCGCAAAATGTAAAAGCAATTGGTCATCATGCCTTGTGCGCCTTGTAAATCAAAGCCTCCTCCAAAGGCTTCCCTGTCGCATTACCGCCGCCGTCGCCGCCATTCCATTCAGCTCCGTTCCGGCCGGCATTCGCTGTAAATTTCATTCTTCATAATCTGGAGCCGGTCCCTCATCTCCATCAGGTGGCCCAGCTTCGTGCTTGGTGGGTTGTCCAACGCCGAAATCTCATGGTGCAGAGCCTCGTACTTTTCATAGTACACCTTGAATGCTTGTGCCTTCTGCACAAGCTTGTCCGAGAACCGAGAGGCTGCTGATCGCTTCGCCGCCGGGGCCTTGCTCAAGCCCTCTGCCTTGCGCTTCTTCGTCACCACAGGTGCGGGTGGTGCCTCGTTCTCAAGGTCTGAAGCATTCGTGGGCGGTGACGACGCCAGAGGGGACGACTTGGTCGGAGACGTGTTCTTGCTCTTCATCGACGCCGATGTCGCCGTTCCGCGAGAGTTCTGGCTAGCATCAGATGGACGGTGCTTGAGTCGAGGACCAGCCAGCGGCTGCTTGGGCTTGATTCGCTTCGAAAGTGGCGTCCCCGAGCTCGAGCTCGAATCGTCATCCTCGCGGGCTCGCTTCGTCACTGTAGGCTGCTTCATCGGTTCTCTGACCAAAGGCCGAGGCTTGGCCACCACTGTATCCTTTGTCTTGACTGCAGGCTTGGACACAGGCTTGGGCAACGGCTTGGCCTTGACGACAGGTGCAATCTCATCCCCAGAGCTGTCCGAGTTCGAGATGATTGCCTGGGAGAGGACACGGCCTCCGTTGGGCTTGG